CAATTAATACCTTCATGACCAAATAATTACAATGCAACCACCTATCGTAAGCCTATTGAGCACATAAAATTATATAAGTATCAAATGCACATTTGTTTGTGTGTGTGTGTGTGTGAGTGAAAGACAGCATGTAGTAGTGTGTGTAAGAGAGAGAGAGCCAGTACATGTTTATGAGAAAGCATGTAGAAGTGTGTGTGTGAGAGGGAGGGCTTATCTTTGTGAGTGAGAGCATGTACATGTGTCTGTGAGATGTCTATGTGTTTGTGTTGGCAACATTGTATCATTTACAGTCATGCTAAAAAGTATTTCTGAATTGAATTGAGATAGAATGTAGGTGTGTGTGAGAGAGCATGTACAAGAGTGAGTGTGTTAGTGAGAGTGTGTACAAGTGTGTGTGTGTGTGTGAGTGAGACTAATTAGTTAGTGTTGTGCTGAAATTTGATATGTCCTGAAAACTTGTCAGACCAGTTATTTACTTTTTGGTTTTATTTATTTAATAAATGTATATGGTATTTAAGCAAAGTTTTAGGGGAACTGGATATAATTATAAAGAATAATATTTTGTACATAATATAATCAATTTTATTTTAAAATTTTATTTTAAATAATAATAGGCCTACACACACACACACACACACAGTCTAAAAATTGAATATTAAGCATGTAATATACACCCAGTTTAAAGTATGTAGTTTCCAGAAGCACTCAAACTGCTCAAGGCTGGGCTAATGCTGAGGTTTCATCTTTGGGTGGAGACTCAATAATATCCATCTGCACAGTGTGACATCACATTCCACTGGCGCGCGTGTGTGTGTGTGGCTTTTTTTCTGTGTTAGTGGGTAAGGCCGCAGGTTTCAAATCTCCCGGGTTTGCGCACGCAACTACTTGTGTTTCGTAGATACAACATCATGAAACATCTAATGACTCGTTATCAAGACGACTCATTTGAAGCACTATGAGTCGACTCTTTTATAGATGAATCAACAGTTTTAAACACTGTACACTTACAGATTTAAGCCTTAGCTGGATATTTCACTTCACTTAGAGCTGTTACACACTACATGGAAGGGTATTTTCAAAAACCCATAATATGGACTCTTTAACAAAATAAATACACTATTTAAATAAAATAGAAATCAACAAGTGAAATAGAAGAAACTGTAGAACTGTTATGGTTATAAACTATATAAATACACACACATGTGAAGGTCCATCTATTAGTCCCATGACGGAGCTAACAGCATGGGTGAAGGTCAAATGCATGTAAACCTTTTAGCACATGTGAAAAGAAATATTTTTATTCGTTATAATTTATTTTAATTTGTTTCTAGCTCTGAATTTTAATCTGACTCCAATTTATAATAGTTTTAGATTTAGATTCATCTAATTAAAGCTGATTACCTTATAGGTTGTGATTAGGTCTAATTTAGATTTATTAACCTAATAAATCCTTATATTCCATTAATGTTTCGTCGTTTACTCAAAGTCGCTTAGAGTCAGTATGCTGGCCAGTTTCATCTGCTCACGGACATATCTTCGCCAGTTCCGATTCTTAGCAGATATGCTAATTTCCTTTAAGTTATAATAGGCCGCCCCATGCTTGCACATACTTAAAGAAAGTTTGATTTAGCCCCTAGATGATATCATACCCCTGGATTATATCATCAGTGATTGTCAGAAATCAACAGGTCTCTAATGCTGTGCCCATGCTCCATCCATTGTGCCTAAATAGATGACTAATCCTGGTTGTAGGCTGCGGAAACGTCAGCCTAAACAATCTACTAGATTTAAATGATTTCGGAAGATATTAGAGTTAAACAAGAATTTTACATTTATTTGTCAGGAAAAGATTTTCCATTGCAGTTCACATAATTAAACAAAAAAAGCCAATCAAGATTGTACAACATCAATTACTCAAAGATACATTGAAGAATTAAAGAGGAATACCTGAACATGTAGAAACACATTGCAGCATACAAGTCCTGATGCAGAGCTCAGAGATTCACAACCTGCAATTCTGCACCCTTTGCCTAAATACTCAAATCATCATAAATTCAAGACAATAAAAGCTTCACCGAGACTCTTGCCTGGTCATGAGTTGATGCGAAGACCATTTTGCCTGGAGTGGAGCATCTGGCAAAGATCTTTTCAAAGTCAAAACCCAAATTAACTGATATAAAGGAGATTGTAAAATATTACAGTGAAATTAAGACCACTTTACCAATCACATAGAGACATTTAAAATCACACCAAACATAAATATAAAGCCACAAGATACACCATATTAAAAACTTAAACATTCGGTGTGAAATGTGAGTGAGCTGCTCTGGTGGAGAAGGTAAAGTCCAGGGCAAAGAGGGGGGCTCAGGATGCATGATCGAGACAACCTGAACAACTGGTTTTCTAGCTGATCTTCTTCTCACATTGGAAAGTTTATTGTTTTAGTGCCTTACTATTCTCACGGTCTTGTCTCGTGTGGAGTTCCATAACAGTTTGCAGATTTTAATATTATGGAGAGATATAGCCATCCTTACAATATTATGTGCATATCTGATCTTAAACTGTAGTTCCACTGTACACTGCAACGAGAACCTCAGTCAATAATATTTATGTAAAACTGAATTTTTGTTGCATCATATGATCATATTTTAAACTTTTCATAAAATCATCAAACAATGTGTACCTAAAAAGCATTTTTTAAGAAATAAAAAAAGTTCTGTCCTATTGTCACTAAGTTATTGTTACTTTTTTCTACTGGATATGTGGTTTATATCTAGTATATATATAAATATTTGTCTATTTGCTGGCTTGCTATCAGAAAACAAACCCTAAGCTAGGCGATAAATTAATTAAATTCTACAACTACAAGTGATTTGTAATTTGTTCATTTATACCCCATTTTTGTTTAATAATGTTTTTGCAGACTATGCAGACTTTATGTGTTGGTCTAATATTTGTATAAAGATAGTTTGCATTTGCATTTACTCATTTAGCATCTTTTATCCTGCGACAACAACTAATGACAAAAGAAGAAACAGACTCAGCCTACCAAAGGTTCAGAGCTTGTGTTTTTAAAAGCTAACAAACCTTAAGCCAAGTCCAACAAGTAAAGCCACACAGTGTTGTTTTAAAGCTTATTTAATTTTATTTATTTTTTTAAATGCACCGTTCTATTCACAAGTCAAGTTGTTAAGCTCATTAGGCCCTGTGGCTTTTGTTTTTTATTTATAATATCTTTCACTTAAATTGCTGTTTCATAAAAACATCTACTGGGAAGAGTTGCCATATTTGATATAAAGATTTTATGGCACAAACGTGTTATTTAATATTAAGCTTGTTTGTTTTTATTTATTAAAAAGTCTAGCTTGATGTGCACTATTTTGTTTTTCTTTTGCTTATTTTATTGTCGTGATTTATAAAGTAATCTGATTTGTTATAAAAGCTTTTCTGGTAAAATAATAATAATAATAATAAAACAATAAACAACAATTAAACAGTGTTTAAGTGTCTAATGCTGGCAGCATCATATGTTAGAAAACTATTCACAAAGACTATTTGATTTATTAAATAACTCATCTCTTGTGCTTTCTTTCATGTTATGTGACAAAATGAATGAATGACTCGGATGAACTAAAAGATTCATTAATTCGCTCATGTGCACGATGTGTAGTGCGAGACAAGATTAGTTCATTTTTCGAGTCCTCTATTGAGTCGTTCGTTCACCACATGAAAGACTACAGCCTAACATATGCATTTATATGCCAATCATATGCATTTAGAGCCAGAAAAAGAATTGATCTGTTAACCTCTCGAGTCCTCGGGTTTGAATCATTCGTTCATTAGGGCCAATCATATGAGTTTAGAGCCAAAAAAAAAAAAAAAAAAAAAGAATTGATCTATTCAACTCTCGAGTCCTCGGGTTTGAGTTATTCTGTCACGTGATGAACGAACGACTCAAGAACCAGAAGACTCGAAAGGTGAACTAATTATCATGGCTCCTATCGGCTCAGACTGTTTACATTGGTTAAGATTATATGTGACTGTCATTGTAACGTGAACGCACCACTGACATTTGAAGACATTAAGAGGTGAGCTGAGCAAGGAGACAACAATACCCATAGACAAAAGAGCAGGTAAACACTGAATTATTATTTTCTTCTTATAATCTATTTATGACTTATTTGTTGTGTGATCAACCTTCTGGGCTAGTTGTAGATGTGTTTGGAAGCAGTTCGTAACATTTTAATACAATTTTGGCAAATTGAACCAAATGAACGAAATGACTCGAAAAAAGATTTGTTCATCTTGATGAACGAGACTCAAAGATCCGAGTCAGTAAAATGATCTGAACTTCTCATCACTACTTTCAACACATTTACAACCCCACCTACTGCAGTGTAGGAGTGTTGGAAAATAGTATACCATCACTCAGCCTTTTCAAACATTATTCAGACATGAAACATCCTGTGCACATGAGAAAATGTTTTGCTGCATTCATGTCATGTGTGCAACTTTTTGTCCATGTGTTTCTTAAGCTGCGCCGAATGAGCGAAACTCTGTAGACACTGATTAGATCTGTATAGTTTCTCTCCAGTGTGAATCCTCTTTTGTGTTTTCAGATGTGTTAACTGATTAAACCTCTTGTCACAGTGTGAATCGTCTGATGCAGTTTCAATTTTGGAGCTGTAAAAAAAAGTCTTCTCACACTCAAGCACACATACTCTTTCACACCAGTGTGGATCTTCATGTGTTCATTAAGGTTTGCTGATCGGTTGAAACTCTTTTCACACTGAGTGCATGTGAATGGTTTTTCTCCAGTGTGGGTCCTCATGTGTTTATTAAGGTCTGAGGAGTTGCTGAAACTCATCCCACACCGAAGCTGCGGTCACACTAGAGTTTAAGCATGCGAAATTCTGTTGTTTGGTTTCTCTCCAGTGTGGATCCTCAAGTGTAGATTACGGGACGATGATTGGCTGAAACTCTTCCCACAGTGAGTGCATGTGTATGGTTTCTCTCCAGTGTGGATCCTCATGTGTTTATTAAGGTGTGATGAGCAGTAAAAACTCTTGCCACACTGAGGGCATGTGAATGGTTTCTCTCCGGTGTGGATCCTCATGTGCTGATTAAGGTTTGATGATTGGCTGAAACTCTTGCCACACTGAGTGCATGTAAATGGTTTCTCTCCAGTGTGGCTCAGCATGTGTTTATTAAGGTGTGGTGATTGGCTGAAACTCTTCCCACACCGAGTGCATGTGAATGGTTTCTCTCCAGTGTGGATTCTCATGTGATGATTTAGCTGTGATGAACAGCTGAAACTCTTCCCACACTGAGGGCATGTGAATGGTTTCTCTCCAGTGTGGATCCTCATGTGTTTATTAAGGTTTGATGATAGGCTGAAACTCTTCCCACACTGAGTGCATGTAAATGGTTTCTCTCCAGTGTGGATCCTCATGTGTAGATTAAGGGATGATAATACGCTGAAACTCTTCCCACATTGAGTGCATGTGAATGGTTTCTCTCCAGTGTGGATCCTCATGTGAATATTAAGCTTGCTTTTGCTTGACAAACTCTTTCCACACTGAGTGCATGTGAAACGATTCTTGTCTCTCCTTTTCAAAATACCATCAGTCTGTAAAAGAGTTTTTTCCTCAATTTTGACATGATGTTCCTCCTCTTTACTCCCCTCATTCTCTTCAATTAGGTCTGAAATATATATATATATATAAAACCATTAGTTTTCATTAAGTCTTTAAAACTCTTCATCAAAAGCTGAAAAGTGAAGACACTGGAAACATTGGCTACACACACTGTAATTTTGATTCACATTAAATGTAAAATAAATCAGGTCATATTTTGTTCGGTCCATTAATGGTGTACACATTTAAACAGATTTAATTCAATTAATCTTTATTTATCTAGTGCTATTACAATGTAAAATGTATCAAAGAAAAAAATTGAAATTGTCAGTCCAGTTTTCAGAGTTTCTTACATAATTGATCATAAGCAGGGCCAGACGGAATCTGCGGACGTTTTTTGCTATTTCTGCTGAGAATTTTGGTAAAAATCTGCAGATTTCTGCGGAATTATTTTAAGAGTATCCAGCGGAGTATCATAACATACACCTTAATATATTAAATAAAAAGTAACAAATTACTGAATAAAAACTGAATTAATTCAGATTTACACATTTACTCAAGTAAATAAACAGAATTAATAATGGGCTAGAAATCTGCGGAATTCTGCGCGCTCAGATTCCGTGTGGGCCTAATCATAAGTCATATTGGTAAGACATATAAGACAGATTTGAAAGCTGTAAATGGCCAGTTTTTATTCATATTTATTCATAATTACAACAAAATGTTTTTCTAATATGTGTAAAGCAGACCAGGGCTCAGAATTAACCTTTTTGCTAGGTAGCACTGGTGCTCCTAATTTAAAAAAATGTAGGCGCATCAACCAAAATTTAGTCGCACACACCAATTATAAGCACCGTTAGTTTTATACAAGTTTTATACACACAGATTTATTGCATTTGAAATCAACACTAATCAAACTAACAAGCAAAAAAATTTATGCATGCGTGAGGAAAATATGTCTCAACGAAATCCCATTATCACAAAAAAAATACATTTTTATAACATAAACGAGGAACCAAAAGATACACGGACCACTCACCAGCCCTTCACGCACTGCTTGACACAAATGAATCTGTTAACGATTGCTGTGCGGTTTTCACGGGTGCTGTCTGATACTGCACTGACGCTTTTGACATATACTGTAACTTAATATATGCATATGTCATGTCAATAGCAATACCAGTCTTTTCATGAGCAGCGATATTAGTTTACTCAGTGTAAGCCCGTTTGCGATGGTGTACATGGTGTTAAATTACATATACATATAGCTGCCACTTGCACGGCGGACAGCATCTGCCGATTAAATGAAGGATTAAACAGAAGCTCTCGTGCTAGATGTGGCAAACAGATAGCTGAAAATTGACTTTTCATAGCGGACTTGAAGCCAATGGAAGTCTTTTATCTACTCTTTGAAAAGTGTAGATGGTGGATTAACATTCAGCACAGGATCATTACTAAGATGTGTCGTTATTTGTAACTTTAGATGCCATGGTTACATGGACAGCGCTTTACAATTTTTCGGGGTTGTAGCTCTCCCTGTCATCCCAAGCCAGAAGGCGTTGAGTGATTGTGATTGACAGCTGATATTAACCAATCCATTTGCATTCAGTTATAGAGCAGTGGGCCAATAGGTAGAGCCCAAAGGCGGGCAAGCATTACGAACTTGGCTTTGTTTACTGCAGCAAGTTGACATGACAACTGTTTTAAACCATTCCTGAGCGCTGCGTTTCAAGTGCAAAGATGCATTCAGCGTGAATATCTCCCGAATCTGTGCATGTGCTGAACATTTTGCAGTAAAAACTGGTCACACACAGCAATTTTTTTGCACTCGCACAAATGCTCCCAAATATATTTTGAGGTTTTGAGAACTTTTTTTGAGAAAAAAGTTCTGGGGTCACAGCTGAACAAACAGCTGAGTATTTGCCTCGCAGACATGAATCATACCTGTACACCATCTGCATAAAGGCTGGATTGTGCACCTTTCCCCTTGTGTGCTGTTGGGTCATTTTCATCAATTCTGGGGTGATTTTGAGGCTTAATTTGGCCAAAACTTTCTCTGTGTTTCAGCAAACAGACTGATACTTGGGGGCATCTTATTTTGACATATTCTGGGTAAATGCTTTAAAAAAAAATTTATTTTTTTTTAAACTCAATACACACTGGGCAAATTTACTCCCTTTTCATTATATTCATGGCTGGTTTTTTTTCATTGTCCTCTATTTTAACACATTTTTTTATTGCAAAGCCATGAAGGCATATAATCATGCATTTATGATTTTTGGTGTTTTCTGTGACGACAGTCAACATTGTTTAATTGGTCTCCACCCATGGGACGGCAAAAAGGAAATGGGTGAGAGTTTAAAGAAAGAGGAGGAATGTTTAATTGGGCAGCTTTATGTGGTATGTGGAAGAAAGAGAAGTTGACTGAACTGTTCCAGTGCGGGGAAACGAGTAGAGAAACCGGGTCGAGATGAGCAGTGTAAACTTAACGATTGACTGTGAGAAACAAAAAGCGAAAGCATGTATTGAAGCAACAGAGCAAAGATTGCCATCTTGTTACTGAAGTGCTTTTGACGTCTGTGAACGAGTGCATCACCAAAGACTTCAGTGCAGTGTATCCTGAAAAAAATCAACTTACCGATTTATCTCCCTGACATGAGTCAGCTACCAAAAGCATTTCATTTTACCCCTCCTCTCCGTGGGTAAGAACCAAAAGTTTTTGTTTTCTTTACCCAAATTCTCATTTTATTTTTTCTTGTTTTGTTTTCTCCCCGTCCTATTATTATCATTATTACTTTTCCCTGTTTTTAAATCTGATGAATCTGCTGGTCTAAAATCATTTGCAATTTTTTCCTTTCACTTTCATTTGAGTTATAAGTGCTGAGGATTTTGTTTCATTGTGATTATTTTTATATTGTTTGTTTTGGACTACCGGCCATGTGAAGACGCAAAATGCTGAGGTTCTCACGTGAAACTTAATTTTGTTTAATATTGCTCTTATCCTAAATACTCATACCTTATACATACCTGTACTGGAAAATAAGCGTTTAAGTGTCAGAGTCTAGCTGCTCTGAGCATAATTTAACTTGAATCAGGATAAATAAAGGCTGAAGCAACCATCGAGAGGCAGAATCCGCTACTAGCCTCCATGCTAATGCTAACCCCGAAGTGCAAGCTGCACCTAAGAAAGAGATGGCGCGGGTGAGTGATAACAGTGCAGTCCTTCAAGCTATTGATGCACTAAAAGGCAATTTGATTGCTAAAATTGAAGAAAAGGCCGTTGCACAGTCAAATGAACTTTGCAATGAAATTGACCAGCTTCGAACAGTTAGGCAATGCTGGAGCACGTTCAAAGTCAAGTCAAAGTCAGCTTTATTGTCAATTCAGCCACATGTACAGGAGATACAGAGAATCAAAATTACGTTACTCTCAGACCCTATGTGCCTAACATATATTATTAATATAAAAAGTAGAGTTTTAAGAAAAAGAAATCTAAATTTACAATATATACAATTGTACATAAAATGTGGTCTAAAAAAATATTTAAAGTGTAGTCTAAAAATATACATACGAAATAAAAAAATTGTAAACCTAAAGAACAGTATATAGTGCAAAAAGACTTGTGCACAGGATGATTATGACAAAGTGACAGTGTCATAATATATGTAAATGTAGTATGATGTGTCTAACTGGTAGACCAATGTTACATAAAGTGACCAGTGCAGATGAATGTGTGCATGTGTGTGTGTTTTCATGTGTGTCAGAGTCCAAAGGTGCGTGTGGAGGGAGAGGGGAGTGGTGGCAGAGTTGGGAGAGGGTTCAGCTTCCTGACAGCCTGATGGATGAAGCTGTCTTTCAGCTAGACGGCTCACCTTGCTTCTATAGTTTTTCTCATTGTTTTTGTACATGAGACCCACCACAGTTGTGTCATCCGCAAACTTCATGAAAAGATTAGAGTTGTGAGATGGTGCACAGTCATGAATCAGAAAAGTGAAGAGGATAGGGCTCAACATCCCTTAGGGGCCCCAGTGTTGAGTGATGGTGCTGGATATGTTACTGCCGACCCGTACTGCTTGTGGTCTTCCAGTGAGAAAATCCAGCAGCTAGTTACACAGAGAGATGTAACTTTGACAGCTGGACCAGTTTTTGAGTGAGCTGTTGAAGGATGATAGTGTTGAATGCTGAACTGAAGTCTATGAACAGCATTCGGGTGTAGGAGTTTTTTTTTTTGTGAGCGCTGAGTGGTAGGACCGATATGCAAACTGAAAGGGGTCCAAGGTGGGGGGGCAGGACAGACTTAATCTGCTGCATCACAAGCTGTAAGCTCCTCTCTGTGTGGTGTAAACAAAGCCCAGTGTGTTATTGCCCCGTGTTGAAAAGTGTATGTGTTGGTGTATTTTTGGAAACACACTTTTTAGGTCTGCATGGTTAAAGTCCCCAGCCAGGATGAGAAAAGCATCTGGGTGGGCTGTAGGCTGCTCACTGATGTCCAGGTACAGGTCTTTCAGCGCCTCTCTCATATTGTTGGCATTAGAGCTGGGAGGGATGTAAACAGAGAAAAGCAGTATGGCTGTTTATTCCCTTTGTAGATAAAACAGCCGGCACTTTAAAACCATAAACTCCACCAGTGGCGAGCAGTAATTGCAGACTACATTAGTATGAAGGCTGGAACAGCAATGTCCGGAACGTTGTCACTGAGCCAAGTTTCCGTAAACACAAATGCACAATAGTTCTTTACAGTCATTTAAGATGAACGAAGTAGACAGCTATAGTCCAGTTTGTTGTCTAGCAAGCCTACGTTCGCTAGAATGAAGGGGATAGCAGGTTTGTGTGGGTTAGCCGCTAGCCAAGTTCAGATCCTCCCACGCGGCTAGGACGTACAATAACACTGCCACGTACA